GTTGCGGTTCGAGCCGGGAATGCTGGAGTTTATGTTGCAACCTGCGTGAAACGGCAACGAAAAACTTCCAACTGCTCGAGGACAAAATGTCAAGGGTGAGACAAAGGGTCATGCTGTTCGACCCTGGAACCTTGTTTCCTGCCCCAGCGTGTTTCGCGGCTTCCCGTTGAAATATGGCGTTGGGCTTGTAGAGACACGAGGTGCCATCCTCAGAACGCAGACTTTGTGTGGCCTGGTATGAAGTATGGATTCTAAACTACCGTCAGCAACCACCACGTTATCGTCAATGGCGGATCTATATTAATGCCGACAGCGTCCATCGCCATCCGTGCATGCCACGTCGGTTCTCGTTTATATATTTTTCCCTCGAAGGGCAACGGCGGGTTTCGTATCACAACAACAAACGGTGGGGAGTCACGGCGGAGTGGCCAGCGCCGTCGGAGGCCTGTGCCAGCACGCCGCCTTGGACCTAGAGCATATGGCGGCGAAGACGATGAAGAGAGCAACCAGCGTGCTAGGTGGGGTCGCAAGTAGAGACTACGCCGCAGCGAAGGAGCTTGTGACAGCAGCGAAGTTGGGTAGTCACTTGACGGCCGAAGAATGCAACCGACGTCATGTCCATAATGGAAGGAGCGGAGCGTAGTGGGGTGTGGCCGGTCGTGGTGACGGAACGCCACCAGTATATGGTTCTCGACATGCGGAGTCGAACGACCGAGCTCGATCAGGGTTCTATTAAGTTCGATCAAGTTTCAGAAGGGGAGGCGTCTCGGAGGGTGACGTCTTCGAGGCACTTCATGTGCAAGGTAAGGGCTACGAGAATATGCAAGTGCGTGAAGGTGCTGCGTAACTTATCTTAGCCATCGAAAGCCAGCGAAACGATGTATGGTGCACAACATGAGTTCTGTCTCATGAGGCTCGACGGGTGAGCAAGTACCGTCTTTGGTGTTGGATATCAATGAAGACAAATGTAAAACACGGCAGTGCTGCCCTAATTTTGGAGAAGTTCTGCGAGTTCTCCGCAAGTTCTGCGATTGTGTTAGCAGGATGCCAGAAATACATCTCGCCCTTCCCTTTGATAGACATGTAAATCGGTACTAAGCGGTACTGCTGTGGCACGAGGTCTTGCTGGCGACCCTGTTTGCAATTTCATTTAGTATTTGCATGGGTTGGGGCCGAGGTACTTCGTCCCAACACCAACGTCTTGCATGGAAGGCCGCAGACCAAAGGTCGAATAATTATTTTCTCGGTGTTTCCGTCATGCACCCTCCCCGCCCAGGCCGTAATGGGAGAGGCCTGCACGGAAAAAAATAACAAGAAACGCGCAAGGTGCGCGCACACCTTGGTCGTTGCTGTCTTTTCCCGCATTGGGTTGGATTCGACGGCGTCGAGCACCGGAGAGGGTGGGGCAGCAGCGGGTGCTTCTTCGGGTGGCTCTCGTTGCCGCGTACTCCACGGGTGTTTCTCGACAGCGACGCTGAATCATTCTGCTCAAAACTGGCGGACATGCTTACCTACATGCGGCGGTTAGCTCTTCCACCTACCGCTCCGTCCGGACTTGCGCGAATCTCTGTGACACCGGCGAGAAGGTTGGTGGTCTCTCAAACGAAGTGCACCTGCGGGGGTGAGCTCCTTCCCGAGGCCGACGTCAATGCGACGCTTGTGACAGAGGTGAGGCGTGGCTTCTGTTGTTGCTCTGGTTTCTTGAAAGTTATGTCATGAGCGCTTCACGTGCTGAACCTGACATGGTCGATTGCGTGTGCTCGATCTCGAAAGTTATGCATTGTTGAACATAGGCTAAGGGTGAAGGCCTCGTAGTAATGTTTTCCCAGGACGTTATCGTATCAGTCTGAGAACTTTGTCATTGGGCCAACGTCACAACAGGGTTACCCTGGTGGAGCCGCGACACATAAAGCGGGCGTACCTGATTGGCCAGCGTCGCATCTCACCCTGATTCGGTCGAAAACGCCCAGAGTACATGTAACCTGCTGCGTCGTTCTTCGCAAATTGTACCCTGATCAGGGGGGGAAACCGCAGGAAATTATAACTCCTCCAACTCTTCCTACGAAAGGTTTGGCTCAAGTCTGACTGTATTTTCCCTAAACACCGTAACCCTAACCCCAAACCGTGACCGACCATCCATCGGGGGGCCTAGGGAATGCCCTTGATGACAGAGCGGTAGAGACGTGTTACATTGGAGGGCAGGGGTACGACTAGGCCGTGGCTGCGCCGCGGCGTGCGCGCGCTTGCCCCGTTTGCTCGCACCTTTTACAGTCCCATCATACGCCGCAGAACACCACGCCCATGCGCCAAAAAAAATGTTGACCGTTTGTGTTGTGGTTCGACCAGGGTATGGTATACCCTGTTGTGTCGTTTGCCCAATGTAATTCCTCCCTGTGCGACATCACCCTTTGCCATGTCAACGGACCACGTGATGCATCGCAGGCGCCGCGAATTGTGAGCGTGCAGGTAGAGCGCCGGAAGTGCGGCACATGTGGGGCGTGCGCGTGGGCAAGCGACAACTTGCGGAAGACGTCCGTTTTCAACCTCAAAAACTACTTTCTGGTGAAGCTCTCCCTTCTGTACAAGTGTTTCGGGCAGTTCATCAGAGGGACAACGATCCAGTCCTTTTTCTTCTCGCACGTGGAGCCTCTGACGACAAACGTCGGTTAGCTGTCGGAAAACCCGGATCTCGCTGCGAGGTACAGTGGGGGGCCCGCAATAGTGCCGGTTGAATAGTGCCGGTGCCCGGTAGAGTGCCGGGAAAATTTCTGGACACAGACAGCGCCCTCAGTAGTGCCGGGCCGGCACTATTGAGGGGTGGCCCGTTATAGTGCCGGTTGGGCGCCGCTGTGCCCGCCAATAGTGCCTGTTCACTACTGCTGTAGACACACACACACACAAGGAATACGCGCACACACACTCCCTTGGCCAATTCGTGTGAGATCACCACTTCCACCACGCACGCTCAGTAGCGTGGTGGAAGGTTGTAGCAGCAGCAGCAGTATACTGATGGACTGGCGTGGAATCGCTTTGCACTGGAGCCTCCAGTCGCATCGGCAATGAGTGGTGTCATGAACCAAGATTTGGCACCACCATCACCCGTACCAGGACCTGCGCCACGATGCCCAACGGAAGTACGGTATTCATGTCCCCTCTGCATCAGCGAAGGATCAACGAACCTGACGGCGAGGAATCTGGCTACACACCAAAAACGTCAGCATAAAGGTCGAGGAAAAGAGCTACTACTCAGTTTGTCTCCTCCTGGATCCTTGCGCTCGAGCAGCCAGGCACCTGGTTACGCCGCATGTGGCACATGCGGCGACCTTTTCTCTCCACGCACCAAGCATTGTTGCGAACCAGGTACTACATC